GTCAGAGGCATGGGGGGACTCTGCATGTCTTTTCCTGTCACTATTGAGTAGCCATAAGCCTCACACTCAGGCCAAAGTCCATTCAATCAGAGACGGCCACAGAAATCCATTCAGTCTGCAGAAACCTGCCTCCTATGGACACAGTGGCTCCTGGAGCAACTCCTCATCCCATTGATTCAGTTCTGGCTCACAAGGAGGGTTCTGTTTGCCCCCAAATTTGGCTCTTTTGTTGCTTTTCCTATTTTATGACATCATAAGTAACAACCATAGCCTGTGGCTGTGCCTTATACTACCTAATGAGCCACAGAAGCCCTTAACCTGACCTACAAGCCCAAGCTGCCTAATAAATGCCTCTGGCCACTGGTGTTTGTTTATTTGTTTTGTGTCAATGTTGGAGTTTGAACTGTCCCTTAGCTTTTTTGCTCAAGTCTAGTACTTTACCAGTGAGCCACAGCTACACTTTCAGCTTTTTGATGATTAACTGGAGAGAAGGGTCTCATGGACTTTCCTGCTTTGACTGGCTTCAAACCATGATTCTCAGACCTCAGCTTCTTGAGTAGGTAGGATTAGAGGTGTGAGCCACCAGAGCCCAGTTTCCACTAGCACTTAGAAGGAGACTCCAATTCATGGAAATTATATAGCAGCTATTGAGAAACACAGGCCTACTGTGCAGTCAACCTGCGCCTGGCAATTGGCCACATCCTGCTCCCAGTTTTGGGAGTGAATCTGCAGTGTTCTTTCCACAGTCATGCCCTGCTAGTTCTTCTTTGCCCCTCAAGAATATGCTTTAACGAGTCACAAGGTAGAACCCTGCTCAAGGAGGCTGTCACCACTGACTTCCTTCCACCAGGAAGAATGGGCGTCAACCATGAAACATGCAGTCTCCATCCCCACCCTGAACTTTACAACACAGGGAGCAGTAAGAATGAGTTGTCCTACACTGAGTCCTGGCCACCAGCTTTTAATGTACTCCACTTTGCCTAATTTTCCTGTCTTCTGAGAGGCAGTTGGGATCCAGGATTACATAGGTGGACTGATCCAAGGTCATCCCGCTGATACGTGGTAGAGCTAGGGCTCCACTCCTGCAATGAAGTGGTTGTAAAGCCAAAGAACTCTTTTCTTCACTCTGACAAGCTATGTCACAGCACCCAACTTGTTCCAGAGAACCAAAGGGATGGGGGAATCACCCCTCAACAGTTTACAACTGGTGGATCCAAATGTTTTTATATGCTTCATTCATAGCTATGGAAGATAAGCAACTTCCCTGTGTTCCAGGGAAGTTGCTTAGAATGTCCATGTACATTCTCTTGGGTGTTCAACAACATGTTCTGGACTTAGACCTCAGTGGAGTTTTGAGGAATGGTACTAGTATGGCATTATTGCTATTGCAACCACTGCTGCAGAAAAGAATGCAGTAAATGTAAGGACAATTTTCCCCATGAGAAAATGAAATGGCAAAAACATGGCATGGCATTAAAAACAAATTACCCACCCTTCCTCCAATCTTACAGAAAATGAGGATCTTTAAATTACTCCACATGTTAGCATATTTGGGTGTTATTAGGGTAGCTTAACTATTACTGTTTTGTCTTTTGTTTTTTTTTGTTTTTTTTTTAACAATTCAACATTAGCTGAAATATTCGTGATTGTTTTTCTGGCTTTCAGACCATGACATTGGGTGACATTGTCTTCAAGAGAGTCAGCAAGAGAATTTAGACAAAATGCGACACATCTTCTTTTACTGTGTAAAATTAATAAAGTAAGCTTTGTTTAAAAACTATTGCTTCTTCTTGATAGCTTCTCATTGATATTACTGTTGGTTTGAATGTGTGTATGCACAGCACCAACCCCAGGGCCTCATGCATTCTAAGCCAGTGTTCTACCACTGAGCTACCTCCTCAGCTCTGCTGTTGGTGTCAACTAACACTGACCACCTACAAACTTGGAATTATTATCCATGTCTTTCAACCTATCAAGTCAGGCCTGAAGAGTGAGTCTTACCCTGAATACAGACCTCAGATTGTCTACTCAGGTGTCCCTGACAGGAGCCCCAGGTATGCAAGATCTTTAGAAAGGCTCAACATGTTCTTTCTTGGTCAGTCACATGAGCAAGGAGCTAGAGCCGTGGATATTCAGGGCATGGGGTATAGGAATAGTGGGCAGAGAGATTTTAGGTAAGGAGTAAAAGAGGAAGCCAGTCTTCAGAGGTTAAAAAAAGAAAAGAAATGGAGCTGGGCACCAGTGGCTCATGCCTGTAATCCTAGCTACTCAGGAAGCTGAGATCTGAAGATCATGGTTCAAAGCCAGGCCAGACAAGAAAGTCTGTGAGACTCTTATCTCCAATTAACCACCAGAAAACTGGAAGTGGCTCTGTGGCTCAAGAGCCAAGAGCTAAGAGCTTAGGAACAGAGCTTGGGCCAGAATTCAAGCCCCACAATCAACAAAGAAAAAGAAAGAAAGAGAGAAATAAGGAGAGAAAGAAAGAAAGAAAGAGAAAGGAAGGAAGGAAGAAAGAAAGAGAAAGGAAGGAAGAAAGAGAGAACAGAAAGGAGGAAGAAAGAAAGCACAGAAGGGAGGAAGAGAGGGAGCTGGGTACCAGTGGCTCATGCCTATAATACTAGCTACTAGGCTGAGATCTGAGGATCACAATTTAAAGCAAGCCCCAGCAGAAAATTCCATGAGACTTTTTTTTTTGCGGGGGGGGGGGGGGGGGAAGGGGCGGCACCCATGGGGAGGGGTTATGTGGCTTGAATTCAGGGCCTGGGTGCTGTCCCTGAGCTTCTGCACTCAAGGCTAGCACTCCACTTCTGGTTTTCTTGTGGTTAGTTGGAGATAAAAGTTTCACAGACTTTCCTGCCAGGCCGGCTTTGAACCCCAATCCTCAGATCTCAGCCTTCTGAGTTGCTAGGATTACAGGTGTGAGCCACCAATGCCCAGCTCCATGAGACTCTGATCTTCAATAAACTACCAAAAAGCCAGAAGTGGTGCTATGACTCAAGTGGTAGAGAGCTAGCCTTCTGGTATCAGACAAGATTGAGTGTATTTAGGGTGGTATGGCCATAGAGTGCTAGCCTTCAGCAAGAAAAAATCTCAAGGACAGTGCCTAGACCCTAAATTCAAGCCCTAGAACAGGTACACTCTCTCTCTCTCTCTCTCTCTCTCTCTCTCTCTCTCTCTCTCTCTCTCTCTCCAAGAAAAATCAAATGAAACAATACTAGTAGAAAAAAAACAGTTAGCTATGAAGATTATGATCCAAGAGCCCTCAACATGTTCATTCACTGCATTTTCAAAAAGAAAGATGATGTCAAGAATCCAGACGGAGAAGGAATAATAATGGAACTAGTTCTCAAGGACATAGGAGAGCCAGGGATCCAGGGCAGAAACAGAGGTTAGATTTGGAGGGAAAAAGAACTGTTCCCCTCCCCCAGCCCCATTCTACTGGTCCAAGAGGGAAGGAAGGAGGGGAGAAAGAGCACAGGCCCAGAGCATCATTAATTGAAAACAACAAATATTAGTAAGCTGGGGAAATGACCGTGAACATGAGAGAAAGGTAAATGGGTAGGCAGAAAACAGGACAAATCAGGAAGAGGAGGGAGGTTTTGTATTTTGGAAGAAGAGTGATGGTATAAATGTGCCAGTTAGATCTCGTGAAGAATGCCTGTCTTTGAGCCTAAAGAATGGCCTGCTTGCAAGGACTTCATTTAGCGGCAGGATTCAAAGGGAGGAGTTGACATCTTAGGCAGAGATAAATATAGGGCTTGGTAGGATCACTTACTTGACTGTAGAATGTTAGGATGAGCTCTGGGATCCAAGGTAGCCCAAGATTGTATTGATGGTTTGGTGTCATCCTCAAGTATAGGACCTTGTACTGGGCTCCCCCAAAACACTGACAAGAAATTGGGTCCTAGAAAATACAAGGCCATCCTTGGGATTGGCTGATTCCCAAGACTTTCACATCTCCTATGCAAATCTGCATCCAGCAAGTGAAGATAGTTTGGTCACACTCCTGAGGAGATCCTAACCTGGGTGGGCAAGACTGTTCTTTCCAACTTTCCAATAAAACCTCAGGACACAGACAGAAAACAAAATTAAGGGACTCCCTGCTGCCAATGGAGGCAGCAATGAAGTCTACACTCGGTCTCAACCAAGAGCCAATTCTTCTGGGCCCATGTTCATCAGGTATGTGTGCTTCCATGTCTCAGCTTTGCCCTAAAAAGGCTTTTCAGTCATGCTAGGAATGAAAATCCTGGTAGGCCACTACAATCCTAGGCCATCAAACTCTCAGATTTTGTCCAAGTAGCCCCCACATGACAAGGAGCCACAAGGCTCAGGGATGAGAGTAAGGAAGGACATATTCGCTCTCTGTATGTTCTAGAATTATTTCTAAAATCTTATTTGCACTTTGAATTGGGGCCTCAGGTGGTTTGGACAAGGCCACCACCAATTCATGTAGCATCCTGAAAGAATTTCAAGTCTGAGTAGACAAGTCCACTCATACCCCATTAGCCAGAGCAAATGAGACATCACCCATCTTAGAGTATGATCTTACCTCTTCCAGAGCATGGGGAAAGAGTATGGCCCCACAGGCACCCACAGAGAGGAAAGCAGACACCTGAGTATCCAGGCACCTGCCACTCCCAGCTCAGATGTCCTTCTCTGTGTCACATACACTGTGTCACACCACACACACACACACACACACACACACACCTTGGCCTCCTTTATATCCCTCTTTCCATATAGTTTGTTGCATTTAATATTACACTGTGTTTTCATTGATTACATTTTGCCTTACCCCCACCCAACTATATTTGGAACTTCCTTATGAGATGCTCTGTCCTAGTACTCAATAAATATAGGAAACACTGGGCTGGGATGTAATAGAGCTAAGGTGAATTGAAATGCGTTGAATTCAAACAAAATGACAGTGGGAAATTCAGGGCAATATATCCCCAGAGACACAGGTTGAGCAGAACCCTAACTGCCCCCAGAATCTCAAGAGTCTCCAGCTCCCACAGCCTGATAGCCCCTCTCCCAGCAGGTTCTCATTGCTTCTTATGAAACAGAGCTGGTGCCGGCTCCTTGCTGGGCTCTGCCATGACCTGCATGGGCTGGTTGTTCAGGGCAGCCTCGCGCATCTTGTGGTACATGAATTCGTTCTGGCGGAACATGCGCAGCTCCATCTCTGTCTGCATCCGCATTCCCTGTGGGACACAGATATACCATAAGCAGTGTGACGTGGGCATGGTCCCTGATCTATCTTGCAGTAAATGACTCTCAGCCACTGAGATTCATCTCTGCTTCTTTTTTTTTTTCTTTTTTTTGCTTATGTGGTGCTGGGGAATTGAACCCAGGGCCTCATGCATTGCAAGGCAAGCACTCTACCACTGAGCCACCTTCCCAGCCCATCATCTCTGCTTCTTTAGAAAACACACACACACACACACACACAAGTGGCTTTATGTCTTAGCAGTGCATCCTTTTTTTGTTAGGGAGGAGTCAACTGGAAGGAAAGAGCAACTGGAGGGATTGTTTGGGGCAGAGAATGTTTATTCTCAGAAACTGTCGAGTGGGCACCTGGATTTGAACCTCAGATCCTGTTACTTATTGGTTCTGGGACCTCACGCCAATCATGTAATCACTTCAGTCTTGTTTTCCAAGGGTGAGATTCCTTTGTACCTTGCAGTGGGTTGGGGAAACTGTAGTGTACAGCACACAACAAATCATCTTTCCCCATATGTCCAGTCAACTATTAATCAAATACTGGACATTGTTAAGTAGCTGAGGATTCCACAGAAGTTAAGACTGCAAAGATCACTTTTGACAAGCTCAATCTATTGGATGTAAAGTTAGTCATCTCTGCCTTTCTGCCCCTACTTTGGCCTCCCATCCATTTTCAAAGGCTAGTGTATTATTTCCATTTTTTAGATGAAGAAACTGGAAATCTGAGGAGCAAAAGGACAGCAACACCTGAGTTCATACTAGATCTAAATGTAGCCACTCTTCAGTGTATGTTATGCTGACATCAGTCTGCTTTCCTTGGGCTATACCACCTGGGAAAGCCATGTCACTCTCAACCAACCAGCCCTTCAACACACAAAGGGAAACCATAGCTTGTAAGATCACACTACTTACAACTGAGTACCTGTGGCTCACATGTAAAAATGTAACTATTCAGGAGGCTGAGAGGTAAAGGATCATGTTTTGAAGCCAGCTTAGGCAGAAAAGTATGACAGATTCCACCTCCAAGATAACTAGCAAAAAAAGCTGGATTGGAGGTATGTCAAGTGGTAGAGTGCTAACTTAGAGTACAACGACTTGGCACCGAGTTCAATTCACTGAACCTCACTGCAATCCTTCAGGCTCATCCACTCAATATGGTAAATCACAAAACTAAACAATTTTACAAGCTATTTTTTCCATCCTGATTGTTTTCTGCTCTCTATTTGGTGAGTGGTTACTTTAATTTTTTATTATCCTTAAGTAGTTATACAAAGGGCTTTCCATTCATTCAATGTGTCAGTACATGAGTACAAAACACACTGATCAATCCTGAGTATCTGAGCCTATGATCACCAAATGGTTCCCAATACAGATGGCTAATGGAGCACATGAGCACACATGCACAGACGCACACACACACGTGCACACACATGCACACACACACACATTTTCTTAGTTCAGGCTTGGGGTCATGATGGATACAACAAACGTGGGGTTCAAACCTCAACTCTGTCATCAGCTCACGAGGTAGTTTTGGATAGATTATTTCCCTTCTCTGGGCCTCATGTTTGCATTTGTAAACAAGGGTTGTGGACCAATGTCTTTAAAGTTTCCTTTGGGTCTAGCTGGCAAGCTGAGAACTATGCTTAGCTCAGATACTCAGACAAGGCAGGGACATCCAGTCTCAGGTTGCTACTTGCCTCTAGGTCCTTGGTGATGGGGTGGGAGGGACCATGTGTCACCAGGAGAATGGCATAGGCTTTGCAGATCATCCCGTGTCCTACTTCGATGTTACCAGCATGCCAATTGGTCAGCCCTGCCCGCATGATGGCCATACCTAGCTGGGCATTGTTGTGGTGGTAGAGTTTCCTGTAGGGTCACAGCAAGTAGTCATCATGCTTCATTGCAACCATCCTTCTGTCTGCACATCATTTAACAACTCAAGTGCTTTCATAGACCAAGTCCATCTGCTCCTCCTGTGCTACTGCTGTGAGGCATCTTTCGCCTGTAGAGGGCGCTAAGGGGCAAACGACTGACGTATCCCACACAAGAAGACTGAGACCTTGGGCTCCAACCTAGACTACCAAGACAACTCCTCTTTGGAGAAGGGGCCCAGGATTGAATTCTGAGCTTGAGCTGACACCCTCTGAAGCACCTCAGCCCTCTTCTTAGGAGAGTGACATGAAGTTAAAGGACAGTATTGTAATTTCATGTATGCATTGGTAGGAAATGAGATCCTATATTAAAAGTAACCAGTGCAAGTGGGGTGCTGGTGGAGCATACCTGTAATCCTAGAAACTCAGGGGACTGAACTCTGAGGACTGAGGTTCAAAGCCAGCCTAGACAGAAACGATCATGAGGCTCTTATCTCCAATTAACCAGCAAAAAGTTGTAAGTAGAGGTGTGGCTCAAGTAGTAAAATGCCAGCCTTGGGAAGAAAAAGCTAAAAGAGAACATGAGGCCTAGTACCAACACAAAAAATAAATAAAATAAATCAAAAGCAGCAGTGCACTGGTGGCTCACACCTTTAATCTTAGCTACTCAGGAGACTGATATCTAAGGATTGTGGTTCAAAGCCAACTGGGGTAGGAAAGTCCATGAGACTCATTTCCCCACACCCACCCCCCCCCTCCCATCCTGGGGCTTGAACTCTGGACCTGGGCATCATCCCTGAGCTCCTTGTGCTCAAGGCTATCACTTTACCACTTGAGCCACAGCAACACTTCTGGCTTTATCTGTGATTGGTTGGAAATGAGAGTCTTTGTTGTTGTTTTTAATGTACTACGTGATTTCTTTTTTCTTTTGTGATTTCCCTCTATGGTTTATCCCCTGTTGTCACTGTATTTGATGTTGGTACCCTGGGTATTGTATATATGGTTATCTGAATTAGAGAAGGGAACAGGAACAAAATTTGTGAGACAAAGGACAAAGGGAGAACCAATGCAACAGCAATACGCACAAGACACTATGTTGGAAATGATCTGTACAACTTGGGAGGAGAATGGAGGGAGGGAAGGAGGGAGAAAAATGAGGGAGGGGTAACAAGTTTGACAAGAAATGTACTCACGGGCTGGGAAGGTGGCTCAGTAGTAGAGCGCTTGCCTTGCATGCATGAGGTCCTGGGTTCAATTCCTCAGCACCACATAAGCAGAAAAAAAAGCCAGAAGTGGGGCTGTGGCTCAAGTGGTAGAGCCCTAGCCTTGAGCTGAAGAGCTGAAGGACAGTGCCCAGACCCAAAGTTCAGGCCCCACGACCGGACCCAAAAAAAATAAAATAAAATAAAAATAAAAATGAAAATAAATTTTAAAAAAGAGTCTTCTGGACTTTCTCAGCCTTCTGAATAGCTAGAATTACAGGCGTGAGCCACTGGTGGCTGGCTCTTGAGATTCTTATTTCTAGAACACTGAAAGAGAAGCTGTGGCTCAACGTGGTATGGCACTAGCTTTGAGCAAAAGAACTCAGGGACAGTACCCAGGCCCCAATTTTTTTTAAAAAAAAGTAGAAGAAGCCACTTAAATGACACATGACCAGGTATGACAAGCAGGCTTCATCTGGATTATCCATTCTAACTGAACTATTCATTCTAACTGTTGGGTCACTACTTGTTGAAGCAACACAATAAAGAGGTTCAGTTAAAAAGAGAACCATGGGCATAACTGATTACTGTGATGCATGCTGTAGGTGCAGCGGGAAAGGTAGCAACGTGTATGTGTATGTGTGTGTGCGTGTGTGTACACACACGCACACACACACATACGTGCACAAGTGCCATCCATTTGCCATCCCTGGAATATACATGCTTCCAGGAGACTGTGTGAGACCCCGGCTTATCACCTACATGTAGCCATCCACCATCCTCTTGGCATAGTGTGCAGCCTCCTCAAAGGCCTGCAGGTAGGAGAGCACCTCTGACACGATGCTCAGCATCCTCAGTGTGTAGAGGTTGGTGTCCGCGAACACTGGCTCCTGCCTCTCCAGGCATTCCCGGCACAGCTTCACAACCTGGAGTGAGAAAGGCCCTGTCCATCACCACTGCACCAGACCACATGCTTACTTCACAGATGATGTGTCAGGACAACACTGGACACTTGCTCTTTTTTTGTTTTGTTTTGTTTTGTTTTTTGGTACTGAGGATTAACCCCAGGATGTTGTACTTGTAAGGCAAATGCTTTTACTACTGAGCTACATCCCAGCCCTTGGACACTCACTCTACTCACTTTTTGAAGTGTGGGGATATTGATGAGAGAGATGGGAAAGCCAGGCTTGTGATTTGCACAGCTAAACGGGATGGGAAGGGAAATGATGGAATAGAGGATGATTCAGCAGAGATAGAAGCTTTCAAAGTCACAGAGAGCAGAGAGCTATAAAAACTATATCTGTATATATGTGTGTGTAAATAGCTACACACATATACTTATGTACATATACATAAATATGCAAATAGATACACAATGCAAATATATTGCTATGATTTGGTTAAGTGTCCCCCAAAGGCCCATGTGTTAAAGGCTTGGTTGCTTGCCAATGGTGATATTATAAGGTGGAAATGAAGAGGAGAGAAGAGGGGGAAGAGGCCTATGGATGTACACTGAATAGTGTAACTCCTCTAATTCTACCCTTGACATCAACTAACCATATTATAATCATACTTCATTCATGTGACTGTCACTTAACCTTAAAGAACTGTTAGGAAGCAAGTAGTATGTCCTGGGCTGGTCACTTCAGGAAAGGGTCATACATGTGCAATGAATGAGTTAGTAAAAGAACAAAGAGAAGGGAAAAGCAAATGAAAGTGAAGAAAAAACAACCTTGTATATTGCCATGCCCTATGGCATCTGCTCTTGGGGCGGGGGGTGGGGGATGTGGAGAGAGAACTGATTGATGGTCCCTGTGTTCTACTGTAGACTGGATGAGTCCGACCTTGCAAGTGTTAGACACAGAAATTAACTTCCAACAAGCTGCCCAGGTTCATTCAAAGCAACATCTCTGCAAGCTCGTGTTTGGGCTTCAATTTTGACTGCACACTGAAATCACCTGAGAGCTTTTTTTGGGGAGGGGGAGGGGATCCGGTGGTGGGGCCTGAACTCTGGGTTCTTCAGCTCAAGGCTAGTGTTCTACCACTTGAGCCACAGCGCCACTTCCGGCTTTTTTCTTTTTGCTTATGTGGTGCTGAGAAATCGAACCCAGGGCCTCAGTCATGCAAGGCAAGCGCTCTACCACTGAGCCACCTTCCCAGCCCTCACCTGAGAGCTTTAAATCTAGAGGCCTCTCTAAGAAATTCTGTTAAAGTTGTCCTGAGTAAGGATCTAATAATGAGGAGTTCTCAAAGGTGATTATAGAGTGCATCCAGAGCCCAAGTTAAATGCCCAGTTGATAGAAATGGGAAATTGTATTTGTATGGAAATCCAGTTATGGGAAAGCGAGCAACCCACTCTCAGTGTATCCCACTGTCATGGCCATCCCTCAATCTCCAATGCCACCTGAGCTGTCACAAATCCCTCAGGCATACTGGCCAGGCTGCCTTTGCTCCCCTCAGACCAAGTTTCAGTGGGTTGACCTGTCACTGAAAACACAGTTCTCACAGGTACTGAAGGTTCAAGGGCATAAAGAGTCATGTTCTCATAAGGGACATTTTCCAGCAAAATAACCTTCTCAGTAACATCCCTATCATCACCCTCAAATCCTCACTTACTAGAGAGCCTATCTATCCTCACCCACGTCTTTCACATTCCCTATAGTCTTCTTACCTCGTGATACAAACCCTCGGAACGAGCCTTGTCTATTTTTTCCAGTGTGTCCTTTGAGAATTGTACCATCTCCTTCACCACTTCCGGAGAGGGCTAAAAAAGAAAGAGACATTGAGTTAGAGACTTCTTGATGGAGAAACTCATTCTGTCTCTGAATAGCTATTGAGTTAGTTACTAACTCAAGATCAATGTCTTTCTCATTCTGAATACCTCAATTCAAGTGTGCTAAAGACCTCAGTATTTTTCTAGCTGCCTCTGCATACTTGTAACACATAGTGTGTTTTCTAGATCACATCCTAGAACATTGTTACTAGTCAGTCAATCCCAGTCTGGGCTCACAGCTGGGTTTTTGGACCCAAGCACTAATTTTTTTTCTTTCTTTCTTTTTTTTTTTTTTTGCTAGTCCTGGGGCTTGAACTCGGGGCCTAGGCACTGTCACTGAGCACTCTCCACTTGAGCCACAGCATTATTTCTGGCCTTTTCTGTTTATGTGGTATTGGGGAATCAGGGCCTCATGCATGCTAGGCAAGCACTCTACCACTAAGCCATATTCCCAGCCCCCAAGCACTAAAATTAACATTGATCCCTATTGTTTTCTCTGACATTTTAGATTCCAGATGTGTTACCTGAAATATATATTATTCTATCTCTTTGCTTCAAGTTAACCACACAAACTGAAAACACACTCCTGTGTTTTTTTGTCTTTAATACAGCTATTAAATACTAGCAAGCATAGAATAAAGCACAAAGCTTGAAGATTTGATCCAAAAATCACAGTCCAGTTTGCCCTTGAAGCTCAACAGAGATCGCTCTTAGTATTACGCTCATTCAATCTCTTCTGAGTGTCTTAGTATCCATCTATTTGTTTTGACCAGAAGAATATCATAAGAAATTTTGCCAGCTGTATCTGAAATCTAAACTTATTTGGCTTACTGCTGAGCCTAAGCAGCCTCAAGGTCCCACGTAAAACCTATCAAAATAGGTTTTTTGTGTTTTAAACAAGGAAGTACCATTATTAAGAAGCCAGTTCCCCTTAAAGTCATCATAATTTTGAAGAAAAATGCAAAATTTATCAAAGCTCAAAGAAGGAAGAGGGAAAAAAGGGGAGAAGCCAGATTAGAAGGGGTAAAGCCCTTGGAGAAGAAGAGGGTGGAGGAAAACAGATGTCAGTTCCTCAACCTTGAAAATCTGACAAATTTCTATCGTAAAAACCATCCAGGGGTACAATTGAGAAAATATATATTTATACAACATATATATGTACAAAACGCACATATAAACATATATAATATATTATTGTTATTTTCACATTTAAAATGTATTTAGTTTAATAGTGGCTTACGCCTGTAGTCCTAGCTACTCAGGAGGCTGAACTCTGAGGATCATGATTCCAAGCCAGTTAAGTCCATGAAACTTTTATTTCCAATTAACCATCAAAAAGCCAGAAGTGGATTTGTGGCTCAAGTGGTAGAATGCCAGCCTTAAAAGAAAAAGCTAAAGGACAGCACCTAGGAACTGAGTTCAAACCCCAGTACAGGCACAGGCACACACACACACACACACACACACACACACACACACACACACACACACACAACAACAACAACTTGGTTTACATCTCTCTGTAGGTTTACAGAGACTGTTGTACATGCCTGCATGTCAACATCCATTTCCTAGATATGGAACCTCAATCTCCGGGAAAAAATGATGTTCCTATAAGAAATGTACTGATCCTTGGGTCTCAACTACTCTGCCCTTTACCAGGGAGGTATGACTCTCAATTTCTCTACCCCTTGCATTGATGACCCACTGGTTACAATTTCCTTCTTACTTTTGTCTACATGAAGACCAATCATGCTTGCACATCCATAGCCATGCATGGGTCTATATGTGTATAAATAAGTCCTTTGTAATTTCTGTAAGGGGAATTGTACACTGTGTTACAGGTGAAAGTTCATCCCCCTGAAATTTATTTGAAGTCCTAACACCTAGTCCCTCAGAATGTGGCCTTATTTAGAAACAGGATCATTGGTAGACGTAATTAGTTAAGCTGAGATCATACTGGAAAAAAAAAGTAGGGTCTGTCCTAGTCCAATATGACTAGTGACCTTATAAAATGAATATCAGGCTGCGAAGTTGGCTCTGTAGTAGAGCGCTTGCCTTGCATCCATGAGGCCCTGGGTTCAATTCCTCAGCACCACATAAGCAGAAAAAACCGGAAGTGGTGCTGTGGCTCAAGTTGTAGAGCACTAGCCTTCAGCTGAAATTCTGAGGGACAACGCCCAGGCCCAGAGTTTAGGTACCATGACCGACCAAAAAATAAATAAATAAATAATAAAATGACTGTCATGTGAAGAGAAGACAAGCATAAATGAAAATGATGTGCAGATCATCAAGAAAAGACAGCCACCTACAAGCTCAGGAGAAAGATCCTTCCTCTCAGCCCTCAAAAGGCAACACTCTATCAACAGTTTGTGGACCAAAGTTTCAGAACTATAAGACAACTTGATGTGTCTTACCACTCACTTTTTGGTACTTTGTCATAGCAGCTCCAGAAAACGAATACACATGGTATTGTTTAGCTCCTTAATTCTTTTCCCTTAGAAGAGTTCATTCCAAGCAGGGTACTGGTGGCTCACTCCAATTATCTTAGCTATTCAGTAGGCCGAGATCTGATTATTGTTCAATTAGCCCATACAGAAAAGTCTGTGAAACTCTTATCACCAGTTTACCAAAAAGCCAGAAATGGAAGAGTAACTCAAGTGGTTGAGTACCAGTCTTGAGCTAAAAAGCCAAGTGAGAGCTCAAAGCCCTAAGCTCAAGTCCCAGTATCAGTATAAAAGAAGAAGAAATAAAGCTCAGCTCATATCACTGTATAAACATCTAAGATATTTTTTTTGGTGGTCCGGTCGTGGGGCCTGAACTCTGGGCCTGGACGCTGTCCCTCAGCTCTTCAGCTCAAGGCTAGCGCTCTACCAATTGAACCACAGCGCCACTTCCGGCTTTTTTCTTTTTTGCTTATGTGGTACTGAGGAATTGAACCTAGGGCCTCAGGCATGCAAGGTAAGCACTCTACCACTGAGCCACCTTCCCAGCCCAACATCTAAGATATTTATTTACTTTGTTGCCAGACTGGGATTTGAACTAGGTATCTGAAGCTTTTGCTTATTGGCTAGTGCTCTACCCTCTGAGCCATGCCTCCAACCATTTTTATAATTTATTTAATGACTTTTGCTTGTTTATGTGGTACTGAGGAATTGAACCCAGGGTCTCACGCATGCTAGGCAAGCACTCTACCACTAAGCCACATTCCCAGCCCAACATACTTACTTTAATGGTTACAGGATATTCCTTGCATTTAAATATTTCTCTATTTTTATTTGTGGTTATCTGGGTTTTGATATTTTAGTGTGTGTGTGTGTGTGTGTGTGTGTGTGTGTGTGTGTGTGTGTGTGTGTGTGTTCTTATGAACATTTATGCAGGATAAATTCTTAAAACTGAAACTTTTTGAGTAAAGAGTAAAAACTAGTATAAAAATCAGTGGTCCAGGCTGGGAATGTGACTTAGAAGTAGAGTGCTTGCCTAGCATGCAGGAAGCCCTAAATTCAATTCCTCAGTACCACATAAACAGAAAAGGCTGGAAGTGGTACTGTAGCTCAAGTGGTAGAGTGCTAGCCTTAAGCAAAAGACGCTCAGGGACAGTGCCCTGGCCCCAAGTTGAGCCCCAGGACTGGCCAAAAAAAAAAAAATCAGTGATCCAATGTCTAGAAGAGCCTGGAGGTGAGAGAGCTGAGTTCTGTGGGGACATGTTTTCTGGATCATAGCACTGATACCACCGAGTAATGAAGTGTTTCACAGGAGTACTACCACCAGTCTCAAGGAGTCCAGGTAGAGCCTCTGCTCTTACTAGAAGCAAGTTTCTGCTCCCACATGGGAGTTTAGAAGCATATTTAGGTGTTTGTATACTAGCAGACTGCTAGTTATACAGAAACACCCAGTTACACTCCCCTTAGGGTCTGCCTCCTCTTTAAGCACCTCTGTGTGATTCCTCAGACCTGTTCAGAGGCTGTGAACAAAGCCCACCTGGCAGGTCTCAGACATGGTACACAACCAGCACTGCAGCCTCTGAGTAGTAGGGCTACAGTTAAGGCTGCAGACCTCCCTGTCCAGCCATGATGTTGTATGTGTTGGCACTTTAGCCCCAACCGTTCTTGGGTCTATTTGGCTGAGTTCTGGTGCCCAGATCCTCCTCAGGCAGCAACACTGAGATGGCTTCACAGGGGAAGAAGGGAGTCTTGAAGACACTTCTCTACATACTGATTTACCTTTCAGTTCTTTCTCACCCTAGCCCTTCCTCTTTGACTGCCTTCCAACCACACATCAAAAACTTCCAATACCTTTGGATAGGGTTTCCTTAACCATGAGTCACACCCAACCCTAGTGCTTACCTGTCCTCTGCTCCCTGCCTGTTCCAGGAGGAGATGGCCCAGTTTTGGATTCTTGTTTGTATTGGTATATAAGTGACTCAAGACTTCACTGTCATTTTGGTGTGTGGCTTTAACCAGCTACTTATTATATGGCAACTCCACTGAGCTCCTCCCCTTCCTGCCCCGTTGAGACTGCTCCATCTCCATGAAACTAGATCCCTAGTTCCATCTCTGTGATAACCAGATATCAACTCCCTTCTCCCTCTCTAATACTGAGAATTGAACTGGGGCCTTGAGCATGCTAAGTAAGCACTCTTCAACTTTAGCTATGTCTCCAGCCCCAGATAACAAACTTCTTTGCCCACTGGTTCTCAATAACTGGACACATTACTTAATCAGTGTAAGGCAAGGGCCAGATCCAAAACTTATTTGGGTCTGGGTCTGGGTGCTATCCCTCAGCTCAAGGCTCAAGGCTAGTGCTCTACCACTTGAGCCACAGTGCCACTTCTGGCTTTTTCTGCTTATGTGGTGCTGAGGAATCGAACTCAGGGCCTCATGCATGCAAGGCAAGCGCTCTACCACTGAGCCACCTTCCCAGCCCCTGTGTGCTGATCTTAAACTAAGCTTAAACTCAGGGCCTGGCTGCTGTCCCTGAGCTTTTATGCTCAAGGCAAGTGCTTTACCACTTGAGCCACAGCTTCATATTGGACTTTTGGTGAATTATTGGAGATGAGAGTTTTGCTCAGGCTGGCTTCAAACCACAGTCCTCACATCTCAGCCTCCTGAATAGCTGGGATTTCAGGTATGAGCTACTGGTTCATTTCATATATCCCTTTATATATCTCATTTTGTTTCATCCTTATAACACCATGTAGTGGGGCCCCATTCTCATTTCAAGGATGAGAAGACTGGGTGATTCTTTACATTTAAGCTCTTAGCCAGAGTAGTACCAGGACACAAGCCAGGATCCATCTAATACCCTGCTCTGTGCACCATCCCATGCCACCTCCCCAAAGGCTATAGGCTTATTGCTTAGCTTTGGAATCCACCCTTTGGTGGCTCCTGAAGAAGACAGCCATAAACATCTGGCAGCAGAGAGGCATGTACCTTGGGGTCTTCCTTCACCCCCAGGAAGAGGTCATCCTTCAGCCCTTTCTGGCAGTGCTCACATGTGCAGTCAAAGTAGTATTGCTTCTTCAGCTGCTTCTTTCGCTCCTCACTGACATTGAGGAAGTCGACGTAGGACACCGTCAGCTCCTCTCCTTCAGAGATCTTGCCCAGGGCCCGGAGTTCAATTCTAGAGCAGGGCAAAGGGAGTCAGTGGTATCCAGGCGTAGCAGCACAGGATTTGTGCTTTGCATGGCTTCCAGGAGTCAAGTCTCAAATACAACAATGTTTCCTGACACTCTGAGAAAACTGTCATTCTCTCTAAATAGGGGAAATGTGACCTAAAGTACAGCTCTCTGAATAATTCCACTCTACTCATTGTAACAGTTAAGTCTGCTCCATTCTGTGAGGTTGTATGGTTTGTTTGCTTGTTTGTTTCTGGAATCAACTCTAATAGAATCTCAGTAGAGGGCTAGGCTTGTTTACAAAGCTATACACAGCTTCCATGTGCCTACAATTATCCAGGTACCCTTAACTATTGATTATGTGTAACAAGGGAAGGGAGAAATAATAACATGAAATTTTCAAGCAAGAAAAGATCTATAATTTATTTATGGTTAGGAGGCTACTCCCTCAGAAACACACATTTAGTTACCCATATCTTGGCTCATTATATACCTAACTTTGAGCCCCTCACACTTTATAGTTCAGCCTAATTTCATGCCTATATCATGTCAGGGAACACTGGAGATCACTGAAGGCATTTGTGCTTATTAGGAGAAATGGTTTAATGGTTGAAGGTGGTTAGCAACAGTATATGGCATTTTAATTGTCTTCTAATCTAGATCTGACCCCACAATTACCCATGACACTACTCTGGTTACCATGGAATAATACAGAATGTGACACAGATAAAAACCTTCTGAAAGAACTGATATTTCCTCAAGCCAAACAGGTGGAGGCCAGACCAGACTCCTTTGGCCATGTACCTCCTACCACAAGGCCAGACAACTAAGGAAAAGGTGTGGCAAGGCCTGCAAGCTGGGTCCTATGCTGTGCTTCTAAATCCCCCTGGGAACCTGGGTTCCACTGCTTAGTGGGAAAGCAACTTCTAGAGAGCAAGTAGTAGGATAGAGAGACAGGACCACATCTGACAAAGATCGTTATGAAAGACAGGGCAAACACTCCGCCCAGAGTCCCAAAAGTAGCCCCTTCCATGTCTTTTGAGATGAAAACTAAGGGAGGCATCTGACCACTTATGACTACAATCTTTTTCTCTCAGCCAGGTGCACACCTGTAATCTAGGCACTTGAGAGACTGAGGCAAGAGGGTCCCAAGTTCAAAACCAGCCCAGGCTACATAGTAAGTCTTTGTCTCAAAATAAAAACTAAATAATTTTTTTTAACTTTCCTCAAAGTCAAATATAATGACATGTCCAATAAATGAGGTAAATAAATATGTATCAAAACAACTAATAGGGAGCCTGGAAAATCTAAATGCTTGCTTACTTTTTGTTTCTTTTTAATTCTTTTTAATTTTAGTACTATACTTGGAACTCAGATCTTTGCAGTTGCTAGGCAGGTATTTAACCGCTTGAACCATGTCCCAGGTTCCTTTTCCTTCTTTCCTTTCTTTCCCAGCCCCAATTTTGCCAGGAGCTGTCGTTAGTAAAGAGATGAAAGACACATGGGAGAGGAAGGCAGGCTGATTGCCACATTGCAGCTACTCTCAATATTTCCAAGCCCCAGACTCATGTCACACACAGGGACACTGATACCAGAGATGTAAGCAACTTCCCTGAAGGTCTCACAGCACTTGGACAACAGAGACAGAATGAGAAGATAAGTACCATTCATGCTTCCACAAGTCACACCAGCCTCTCCTGATGGTTTTCAGCTGTTTCCTCTCTGTGATACACGCATGGAAAAAGAAATGCATCCAACCCCCTACCTTTTAGGAACCCGTTACTGTCCTAAATAATTCTATGTGAGCTTCTCTGGGGCAAGTGTAGAGGGTGCATGGCTGGAGTTTTGCAGATTATTGAAGTGATATTACAGAGTTTTCAAAACCAAATTAACTTGATATCATTTGACTATGACAAATACATGCCACTTTACATTAGAGATGCTCCTTGTCATACAGAGGGTATATTCCACAATTACAACAAATATAATATGTTGACATATAATTGGTTGAAAATGTATTTAATATAGCTAACCTGTCAAACATCATAGCTGAGGACTGGGAATGTTGCTTAGTGTAATAGTGCTTGCCTTGCATGCATGAAGTCCTGGGTTCAATTTCTCAGTACTACATAAACATAAAAAGCCAGAAGTGACACTATGGCTCAAGTGGTAGAGTGCTAGCTTTGAGCAAAAGAATCTCAAGTACAGCACCCAGGCCCTGAGTTCAAGCCCCAGAACTGGCAAAACAAGGACAAAAACAAATATCGTAGATGAACCTACCTGCCTTAAATGCATTCATTTAATTAATTGGACAAAAACTATCTAACACAAAGCTTATTTTATAATAAAATACTATACATGGACTCATACAACTTATTGAATACTATACTGGAAGTGAAATGCAGAATGTGTGCATGAGTATAACTTTATCATAAAGTTAAAAAAGTTAAGTCAAACTATCTTAAATTAGGAACCACCTTACTTGATAAGAGCTGACAGACAAATTGTGATTAAAATAAAAGCTATAACAGTCAGGAGATGAAAGTTCTAGCATTAAGCCCTTCCTCCAATCAGCTTCTGTGGCTAATCATTCCCCCACACTGGGCCTAGAGCCCTTCCACTTCCAACACTTCAATTCCACAATTCTGCTAATTGAGCACAAGTAGGTGACTAAGTGTTGCTTGCAGAGATCAGGAAGCCACAGGGGTATAAAACTAGAAAGGTCCCTAAAGATGCTGACCTCTTGACCTTCCCTTTACAAACATGGAACCCAAGCTCAGGAGACAATGAGACTCATCCAAGCAGATAGTGCTTGCTAACACAGATGATTCAATCACTCCCACACCTCATTCCAAAGCCATGCACTATTTTATCCTTAAGCTAAAGACCTGCCTGAGCAAATGACCCATCAGTGGACCACATGATTAGTAAGAAAAGGAAAAAGTACTACAGGTACTAGTGGCTCATGCCTGTAATCCTGTCTACTCAGGCTAAGATCTGAGGATCACTGTTGTAAGGCAGAAAAGTTTGTGAGAACCTTATGTCCAGTTAACCAGCAAAAAGCCAGAAGTGGAGTGTGGCTTAAGAGCAATAGCCTTGAGTGAAATCAAATGAGAAGACAATGCCCTGAGTTCAAGCCCCACTTCCAGCACATGCACACATGCACATGCATACCCACACGCACGCACACGCAACCACACACACACACACAAAACACACACACACACAAAAGTAAAATGTCACCTAAATGCAAATTCCAAAAACAGTAAGCAAAATACTATGAATACCTATTTACCAAAATATCATGGTTATGAGTGCTCTTCTCAGAGCGCTGTCTAGGTAAGAAGTTGAAGTTTTAAACATAGTCCTTTAGTAGGTCAATAGCATCAATAGTCCTCAGTTCATGGTAAGCAGTGTTCAGGGGTATAATAGATCTTTGCTAAGGTGGTCTAGACTAGAGAATTCATGCTTCAAGGCTGGGGAAGTGAGAAACATGAGTAAGGAAAGAGAGAGAAAGGAAGCATAAGAAAACAAAGGCAAGGCAGGCAGTGGTGGGTGGGTGAGAAGTCAATGGTTAATTTCAATGCATTAAAAATGTGCCATCACTCAATGAAGACCAGACACTGGAGTGCAGGACATTACAGATGGGTGGCAGACAGGGATACTTGGGAAGGGGTGGTCCCAGCAAACCAGGCAAGTGAGGGAGATGGGTCAGAGGGACAGGGATGCTGGAAAGGACTGACCCACCTCATCTGGGTGTGAAACATGGATTTCACTGCCTCATGACTGAAAGACAAAACAGACATCCGAATGCAAGTCAATTCCATTGGCTGATCTGGTGCACAACATTGTGGGTCATACTACCAAGGCCTTGGCCATCCTGGTAATTATCCCAGCCCCTCCTAGCAAGGCTCATGCAGCAGAATGCAACCTGGTATATAGAGGAATCACACTGGATTTGGAATGCAAAGTGCTAGATTCAAAGGTTCTCAGTGTAGAACAAATCACTTCCCTTCCATGGGCCTCAGTGCCTCACCTGTTAGAAGGTAATGAAACTGTCAAACTGGGTGTTTGTGGCTTATGCCTATAGTCTTAGCTACTCAGGAGGCTGAGACCTAAGGATCACAGTTCTAAGCTAGTCCAGGCATAAAAGCCTGTGAGACTCTTACCTCCAATTAGCCAGCAAAAAGCAAGACATGGAGCTGTGGCTCAAGTGTTTGAATGCTAGCCTTGAGCAAAAAAGCAAAGGGAAAAGGCGCAAGGTCTGAGTTCAAACCCAAGCACTGGCATAAAAGTGAGAGGGGGGGGAGGGAGCAGCTGTGAAGAAACAATGTATAGTGCAGAAAGTGCAGCATTGTTCTTGTCCCATTGACAGGCATCATGGATATTCAGGTATCATGGCCTCTTTGGAATAAGTATCTTGGGGAGAGTTTTCATTGTATATGGAGACTGGTGAGGGACAGGTAGCATGTAAAAATTGTTGGAGTTAGAATTGGGCCCCCAATACCATGTCCAGGGTTCTTTCCACTATGCCAGGCAGCTAGGCAATGACTGTAAAAACTGCTTCTCTTGTACAAAAGCCAAGAATCTCAGATATACACGGCTGCTCAAGATTAGTAAATGCAAAGAAGCCAAAGCACACACCAAACATGACCTGAAGAAAGGTCAATGGCTACACATAGTGACAAGAAGAGCCTGGGTCACTGTCACTTAGAAGAGGGACATCTAGAAAGTTGGACCCTGTATATGACTAAATTTGATCTGCTCTCTGCTAACTAGGCTAAGCTCATTAGACTACAGGACTACAGGCCTCTTGGAGGATTCCATGAAGTTCAGCCAAATGACCCAGAGAGGCTTAGGAAATGAAACACAGAGCCTGGAAAATGTTACCATCAGTGTACAAAGTGAACTTTCTTAGCCCCAGCATCTTTCTCAATTGCTTTAGAGCCTGACTTTAGAAATAGAGGAGAAAGGGGAAATTAGAGTCATTGCTAGGTGAAGGCTTGAGCCTGATTCTCGGTAGAGACATGGAAACCATAATTTCTGGTGTCTAGGTTTGGGGATAGGAAGGAGGAAGCTACTCATGTTGAAGGCTGAATCAGCTTGTTTCTGTTATACAAGATCATCTCTAAGAGCATACGCAATGAATATAGCTCAGGCCTCCTTCCTCGGATTTCTCCAGCGTGAACCATGGACAAAACCAGGTGCTTGGAGCAGGGAGTATGGCTTACTGGTGCTTGCCTAGCATGCATGACGCCCTGAGTTCAATTCCTCAGTACCACATAAGCAGAAAAAAACAGAAGTGGTGCTGTGACTTAAGTGGCAGAATGCTAACCTTGAACAAAAGAAGCTCAGGGACAGTGCCCAGGCCCTGAGTTCAAGCCCCCATTGACTGATCCCTCAGGACTGGCAAAAAAAGGGTGCTCATCTCATTGACTGATCCCTCTCTATTCACATCCCATCTGCAGGATCCAGTCTTTGCCCTCATGTCCTTCATTTGTGTTATCCTCAGGGCAGAATTGTGAGGGCCACATCCCCCAGGGTCCTTTGTTCTCTGGTCTTCTGGAGTTGGAGGAGTCCAGAAGGTTGGAGGACAGTCTACCGTGGTTCCAGTAGTGACTGGCTTCTCTGCTGGCATGGTTGTAACCACAGCTGAGCTGCCAGGGCCCCTCTGCCATGGTTTAGGCTCTCACTGGCTATAGAAAGGGAGTGGACGCCAGTGAACTCTATTTGTCCCTCTAAGACTAGAGGCTATAGAGTTTTCCTGTGCTCTAGACCTTGACTGCTTGCCATTCCTGTTCAATTCCTAAATCCTGTCTACACTACTATTGTTCTCATTAAATTCTCTGTGGATAGATCCCTTTGAGTGTGCCTTCCAACATACATTCTTGCCAAGCCATTCTTAAGCATTCTCTGATGTCGTTTCTAGGTAAGCAACCATAAGCTTCAAGTTTATCTAAGTAGCCTTGAGAAAGAGACAAATTTAAAACATCCCAATGGAATTCCTTACTCAATTTTTTTCTCCTAGCCACAATTAATCTAGAATGAGATTTAGGGTTGCTGAACATTGGACATCCATGGCTCAAGTTCAAATTCAAGTCTGACTCTTGAACCAAAGAAGACCCCAATGTCCTCCTCCCCATCTCACACCCCAGGCCCAGTACTCACTTGCCATTATTGAATATGACCGTGCAATTGGGCCAGCAGTCATGGTTCACCAGGCCAAGGTTGGGGAAGATGCCCACACCCACCGCCTGCAGGCCTCTCTGGTCACTGAGGGTGAAGCCATTGCAGTTAATCTACCCAGAAGAGAGGACAAAAGAGTCGGTCAGCAGGTAGAGGTAGGGTAGAACACCATCCTAGCTATTGCAAGTGTAAATCTTAAAAGTGTCAGCCTGGAGTTACTTGGAGAGTCTGGAAACAATCTCTTACTCTCTATGGGACTCCACATGACCCACAAAATGGAACACCATTATGGAAGCTCTCAGTGGCTGTGTTCTAGAAGGGCTAAAGATGGAAATGTTGAATTCCTTTTTCTGCATTTGAGTTTTACATGAGGACTCCTCGGTGTCTTTGTTTTGCTCTCCATTCCCTGCCCACTTGCCTTGCCGGTTTGGATGTACACATGTGTATCAAGTGTGTGTCTGTGTGTTCCAGTATATTCAAGTGTATTGTATACACATGTGCGTGTACAAGTAGAGGCTTTGGCACCAGGCAGACTGCTTCTAGACATTTCTTAACCATCAGCTAACCAGACAGCCCTCAGAGATTATGAAGCTTCTCTAGTTCCAGGTCTGCCTATGAAATCAGAATATTGAATAATTAACCTTACCTTGTATTGTAAAGATTGCATGGAATAATGTAGCATGGGAATCTGGGATGACACATTTACATGGCACTATGGCTGGGTTTTGGTGCTCGGATAGTTTATTTGGTGAAACATCATTTATGTTTCTGTGAAGCTATTTCTTTTTGGATAAGATTAACATTTAAATTGGAGAATTTTGAGGAAAAGCAGATTGTCTTCCCCAATGAGGGTGGGTCTCATCTAATCAGTTAAAGATCTATTTTCTTTTTTCTTTTCAGTCAGTAAGGGAGCGGCTTGAATTCCAGGCCTGAGAACTGTTACTGAGGTTTTTTTGCTCAAGGCTAGCACTCTACCACTTCAAGCGACAGCTCCAGTGGTCAAGTGGAGATAAGAGTCTCACAGAGGGCTGGGAAGGTGGGTCGGTGGTAGAGTGCTTACCTTGCATGCATGGGGCCCTGGGTTCAATTCCTCAGCACCACGTAAGCAGAAAAAGGCAGAACTGGTGCTGTGGCTCAAGTGGTAGAGCACCAGCCTTGAACCGAAGAACTGAAGAACTAAGGGACAGTGCCCAGGCCCATTGTTCAGGCCCCATGACCAAAAAAAAAAGTCTAACAGACTTTTATCAAAGCCAGCTGGGCCTAGCTTTGAACTATATTGCTCAGATCTCAGCCTCCTAAGTAGCTAGGATTACAGACCTAAGCCACTACTGCCTGGCTAGTTAAAGATCTTAATAGAATAGAGATTGACTTTTCCTGAGCAAGAAGGAATTGGGCTGAGAGGGTAGCTTAGTGGTAGAGTGCTTGCCTCGCATGCATGAAGCCCTGGGTTCAATTCCTCAGTACCACATACACAGAAAAAGCCAGAAGTGGTACTGTTGCTCAAGTGGTAATAGTGCTAGCCTGGAGCCAAAGAAGCTTAGGTAGAGTGCTCAGGCCCTGAGTTCAAGCTCCAGGACTGGCAAAAAAAAAGAAGAAGAAGAAGAAGAAGAAGGAATTATGTCAGAAGATGGCCTTTGAATGAACTGCAGCTCTTCCTTAGTTGTCCAAACCCCAACAGTGTATGAGCTGACTTCTCAAAATAAACAACCCCATCTCTATCTTTTTCTGCATGTGTTCATGCTGTTCTTGACGTTGTTACTGTTACTATAACCTCTCTCTTCAGCCTAATCATCAACACCATGTAAGGCATGGCCCACCATACAGAAGCCATCCACACATACCCCAAAGCCCAAGGCCTGAGGCTCCTGATCCACCAGGCTCCTCCATCTAGTTCCTGGACTCCTGTGCCCTTGCTTGCTTCTGTCCTTCCAGCCAGGAAGGCCTGACTCACTGCTTCAGGCTCCCCAAACATTCTGCCCAGGAGACATGAGAAAGGGTCTTCTTTCTAAAGTGAGTGATGGGCAGACCATAATGTGGACCAAGTCTTTGTTTTCAGGAGAAAACTGAGAAGGTACAGATAGACCAGAAGATTAATTACCATCTAAGTCCAGTACTCAGAGAATGACAAATGAGTAGTTTGTAGAAGGGGTAACAATGTGAGTTAGGGTATAAATGATGTAGTAAGAAGACCAGAAAGAGTGTAGACAAGGGGTCTTAATTTTAAGCTTCTGTCCCCTCCAGCCCTTTTGGCCACCTTTCCTGATGTCTGGAAACTTCTTGACTGGGCAATGCCAGCTGTAACCATGGCCCATCTTTTATTAAGGGTTAAGAACTCTGAATTTTTTTTGGGGGGGGGTCACTTGTGGGGCTTGAACTCAGGGCCTGGACACTGTCCCTGAGCCTCTTTGTGCTCAAGGCTAGTGCTCTACCACTTGAGCCACAGTGCACTCCCAGTTTTTGAGTAGTTTATTGGAGATGTGTGTTTTATGGGGAATTTTCTGGCTTTAAGCCACAATCCTCAGATCTCAGCCTACAGAGTAGCTAGGATTACAGGTGTGAGTCACCAGCACCCAACGTTTATGTTTTTTAATGGGGACATTTAAGGTTCTGTCAGAAGGACTAGCAGGTGTTTTGGCTATATCTGGGAAGTACAGGGCAGATTCCAACAATCCTTGGCTGCCTAGGTTAGATCCGATTGACAAGAGGAGGGCGCTGGAGGAGAGAGGACAAGGAACCAGGGCACAGGGCCATACCACTCCAAAGATGTGAGAGATGTATTGCATGCTGAACTGCTGGCCCTGGGGCGGCCAGTACTGCAGGAACGTGTCCACATCCATCCGCAGCTCCTTCTTCTCCTCCTCCCCAAAGTTCTCCACGTGGTTCTGCAAGTCATCCACCGACACCAGGCAGCCCTCCGTGAGCCCCGTGCCCTCTCTCTCCACCCGCCACATGATGCGGGCAGCCAGTCTGTGGGAAGGGACAGATTTTGTCTGAGAGGCCACACCCACCACATGGTCTTCCAGGCTTTCATTCAACAAACACCGGGTGCCTCAGAGGCCAGGCAGTGTCAGGCTCTTGAACTACATGAATGGACAATCTATCATAACGTTTCTTATGATAGGGGAGATATAAGTAAACAACATTGTTTTGAGTAGTGTTAAATGCTGGGCAGAAAATGGGTAACAAGATGGAGAGAAATGAAGTGGCTTGGACTGATAAACAGCAAGAAGACACAGAGGGTTGAATAGAGGAGTGGAGAGCAGGAGCTAGACCACTCAGGGCCTGGGGACATGGAGAGGGACAGCAGTCTGGTGTCTCCTAACAGTACAGCTTACTGGTAGGGAGCTGGGTAAATTGCATCTGGGCATAATACATTCTGCCACCCCTCCAGAAGTACTTGGAGGGGTGTGTAGGGTGGGGGAGAGCTTGAATTCAGAGCCTCACACTCTTTTTTTTTTTTTTGGTCCGGTTGTGGGGGCCTGAACTCTGGGCCTGGGCGCTATCCCTCAGCTCTTCAGCTCAAGGCTAGTGCTCTACCACTTGAGTCACAGTGCCACTTCCGGGTTTTTTCTTTTTGCTTATGTAGTGCTGAGGAATCGAACCCAGGGCCTCAGGCATGCAAGGCAAGCGCTCTACCACTGAGCCAGCTTCCCAGCCCATCACACTCTTAATTAGCTTTTTTTCTCAAGGTTAGTGCTTTCCTACTTGAAGCACTAATTCCAATTGCATCTTCTTTTTCTGTTTAATTGGAGACGAACTCTCCCAAAGTGTCTGCCCAGCCAAGCTCACTTCCAAACCTCTATCTTCAGCCATCAGCCTCCTGAGTAGCTAAGATCATAGGCTTGAGTTGACAGCTCCAACTGAACTAATTCTTAATGATAGGACAGAGAGAAAGTGGAGAAGACAGCCTTAGGGGATAAATAGCATAAGCAAAGGTCCAGAGGTAGCCATGGATAGAGCCTATTCAGGAAGCAGGAAGAGGCCTGGCCAGACTAGAGCAGAGGGATCTGGGGAAGGAGAGGGAAGGCGGGACAGGAGGAGGTCTAGAAAGCAGGGAGCTTCACGACTAGGCCTTCCTTTTTAACTGTTAGGCAGCTCTGTCCCACAAAGTGAATCCTGTGACCTAGGGACACAGTGTCTCTCTGCCACCCACTGTGCTGTCCAGGTCCCTGGGAGGGGCTGATGGGCCCTGATCAGATCAAGTCCCACCTCTTGGCAAACTACAAGCCCTTTTCTTGTCTCATTTAGGTCAGAGGTATTTCTGGAGACTTGACCTACGTGAGTCCATAAGTGCCTGGGAACCAACGTGTCCCTACATGGAGTCCTGAGCAGCTTGAGAATGAAAGAAGACTCCATGCCTAGCTTCAGTGGCTCACACCTGTCACCCTAGCTACTCAAGAGGCTGAGATCTAGGATCATCGTGGTCTGAAGCCATCCTAGGCAGAAAAGCCTATGAGACTCTTATCCACTGATCTACTAAAAATGCTGGAAGTAGAGCAGTGACTCAAGTGATAGAGTGCTAGCTAGCCTTGAGTACAAAAGCTCAGAGATAGCGCTCAGGCCCGGAGTTCAAGACCTAGGACTAGCAAAATGAAGAGAAGAGAGGGGAAATGCAGTCAATAATTCAATGTATAATCCTACAAAATTAAGAAGAGTGAGAGAAGGAGTGGATAGGGAAGGAGAGGGTGAGAATGTTGAAAGGAATCACACTGATCACGATGCATTGTATTAACAAACTGCTTTGTTAAACGGAAGGAGGAGGAGGAATAAGAGGAGGTGAGGCTGGGGCTCCAGATTAGGTGTGGAAAAGACCTGTAGCCTCTAAGTCCTAGGCCTGCTTCATCAGGGGCAGCCGCAGCTGTAGACCCCCAGCTCTCCCTGGTAGATCCAAGGGCATGATTGGAAGAAGGGACCATCAGGTCTCTTGGACGCTCTTTTCCACAGCCAGTGCCAGTGTTGTCCTGCCACCATCCTGTCTTGACGTGTGGAACTCCCAAGCCCGCCCGCCCCCAACCCCCACCCAACTCTGACCTGATGTTCTCATTGGGCACCTTTCCAAATCTCTTGATGGCGGAACACTCGTTCTTATGGTTCAGCCAGGCATCCTTCTGGCAGGTGCGGTCACAGTAATGGGCGAACTTGCACTGTCCGCAGCGATGGAGCTTCTCCTGCCTCTTGAAGCAGGTGTGGCACACAAAATTAATGAGGCTGCCCATGGAGGAAGAAAACACAGGGTTAATGGGGGGCTCTCTTGGAACATTTTCTCTTGTTACAAGACATGAGCATTGGCTGCGTGAGCTAGAAAAAAAAAAAAAAAGACTGCTTTGGGGTCATGGTCTAGTGGCACAGATTAGGACTTGAATTTGATAATGGGTTTTATTTTTGTTTTGTTTGACACAGCCCTAAGGTGGAGAACATATTGTATAATGAGAAACAGGGATCAAGAATATAGAAGGGGGGGGGCTGGGAAGGTGGCTCAGTGGTAGAGCGCTTGCCTTGCATGCAAGAGGCCCTGGGTTCGATTCCTCAGCACCACATAAGCAAAAAGAAAAAAGCTGGAAGTGGCGCTGTGGCTCTAATGGTAGAGCGCTAGCCTTGAGCTGAAGAGCTGAGGGACAGCGCCCAGGCCCGGAGTTCAGGCCCCACAACCATACCCCCCAAAAAAAAAAAAATATATAGAAGGGGGCCAGGCGCCAGTGGCTCACGCCTGTAATCCTAGCTACTCAGGAGGCTGAGATCACGGTTCAAAGCCAGCCCAGGCAGGAAAATCTATGAGACTCTTTTTTTTTTGGGGGGGGGGGCGGTCATGGGGCCTGAACTCTGGGTCAGCTGTTCAGCTCAAGGCTAGCGCTCTACCACTTGAGCCACAGTGCCACTTCCGGCTTTTTTCTTTTTGCTTATGTGATGCTGAGGAATCGAACCCAGGGCCTCAGGCATGCAAGGCAAGCGCTCTACCACTGAGCCACCTTCCCAGCCCTCTATGAGACTCTTATCTCCAATAAACCACTAGAAAACCAGAAGTGGTGCTGTGGCTCAAGTGGTAGAGTGCTCACCTTGAGCTGAAGAGCACAGGGAAAGCACCCAGGCCCCACAACCGACAAAAAAAAAAAAAAAAAAAAAAGGGGTTCTGGTCTCTCCCTCCTGCTCCTGCTCCTGCTCCTGCTCCTGCTCCTCCTGCTCCTCCTCCTCCTGCTCCTGCTCCTGCTCCTCCTTCTCTTACTCCTCTTCCTTCTCGTGTGTGTTTGTGTGCATGTATATGTGTGCCCATCCTGGAGCTTGAATTCAGGGCCTGGATGCTGTCCCTGAGCTTCTTTTGCTCAAAGGTATCACTTTACCACTTGACTCACTTTAGCTTTCTGGGATGGGGGCGGGGTAGTTAATTGGAGATCAGAATCTCATGGAACATTCCTGCCTGGGCTGACTTTGAACAGAGATCCTCAGATCTCAGCCTCCTAAATAGCTAGGGTTACAGGCATGAGCTATGGGCACCAGGCTCTCCTTTTTTTTTCCTTCCTCTCTTTTTCTTTTAAATGTATTGTTATTATAAAGGTGAATACAGTTACTTAAGTCAAGCAACGACTACACTTTTTTCTACAATGTCACTCCTTCCCCAGCTCTCTCCCAGCTTTTCCTCCCATTCCCACCCACAAGTTTCTCCCTTTTCTAATAAAGCCACAAAGTTTCAATCATTAGAACTCCACATTGATGACTTTAATCTTAACTACTTCTAAATACCTGCCCTCTTAATAGCTCACAATAAAGATTAAATGCTACGCAGCAAACCTTGAGGACACACTCGGCTTCAAACTACAGCTGAGAGCCTAGTGGAAAGCACACAGCACTGGCCATGGCTTCCAGTCCTAGCTCTAAGCTGGTCTTTATCCTTCAAAATTATAGATTCCTGCTTTTCAAAATGAGGAGCTTGAGCTTTCAAATGGTCTTTTTGTTATAATCAGACTTTTCACAGAACTTTTGAAGTGACCTCAATGTGAGAGACACAATGCCTTCTGCAGGTAGGCTTATGGTCAGTTCATTTCACAGTGTCAATTCATGACCTCTACTGGACCAGCACTGGGATACAGTGAGCAAGTCACCCAAAACCCAAGCAAACATGTGGTCACCAGGTAATGTGCTGAATATTATGAAAAGGAAGTTTCTGAAACACGTCGGAAAAGACCCCAGAGGCATTTGTAGAACACACTGGAAGAGATCCCAGAGGAACCTGGGAGTCTTGAAATTTGTCATGGACCTCTTGCCAAAAAAATTATGTCATAGGTGTTATATGTCACCTCCCATATATGTGTGTGTGTGTGTATACATATATATATGTATAACAAATCACAATCTGATATGGTGGTAAATACCTATAATCCCAACCCTCAGGAGACTGACTTCAGGAGACTGACTTCAAGTTAAGGCCAACCTGGGCTATGTAGTTAAACTCTAACTCAAGAAAACCATAAAACAAAAGCAGAACACTTAGTTTGTGGCTGGCCAATTCTCATTGTCATGTACTTCTTTCCTGTGTTAAGTGTGACTTTGCCTTCCCAGGAAACACACTCCTGTACCCCAGTGTAGCCCTCTGGCTACAAGTCTGGCCAGGTCAGTTCCTTAAATATTTGCTAGCCACTGCTGCTGCTACTTCTCTGAGTTGAAGCCTCCCAGCTCCTTCAAATGTTCCTTGTACAGCTTCTGCTGACATGCCTCCAGCCATCAAACGAAGATGGGAATTACAGTGCAGTCAAGCAAGACACATGGGCATGGCTAGGGGTCAGGCTCCAGAACTAGACCAAGGCCAGGCCTGGTGGTCCACTGTGGCATCAAGAAGGGAAGTTGGGTTCTGGTGGCTCACACCTATAATCCTAGCTACTTAGGGGGCTGAGATCTGAGGATCATGGTTTGAAACCAGCCATGGCAGAGAAGTCCATAAGACTCTTATTTCCAAATAACCAACAAAACACTGGGAGTGGAAGTGTGGCTCAAGTGGTAGAGCACTGGATTTGAGCAAAAAAGTGCAGGGACAGCTCCCAGGCACTGAGTTCATGTCCCAGGACCAGCATAATTTAAAAACAAGCAAAAAAAAAAAAACCCAAAGAACAAAAATCATAGAGGAGAGAACAATTCTACCACTGAGCTATACTCTAAGCTTTGTTTTTTGCTTGTTTGTTTGTTTTTTAAACTGTTTAATCGATACATTCTAGTAGTAATAATCTTTCAACCTGGCAAGCCATCAAGAGGTGAATGGTCCCGGTGGGGACAAAGACATACTCCCCCTCCCCCATTGCTTCTGCCAGAGTGGGAGAGTGTTCAAAAGACTATAAAGTCCCCAAACCCCCTTTAAGATCCCAGGAGAAAGAGTGCTTATTCCCACCAGCCTTGGTACAGGGGTAGTGGGGGAATGATGACCTTCACAAGTATCTATCCTATCTCCTATTCACTCAAGTAGTAACTTACTTCATTCAGAACTTCACAATGTCAATGCAATGTTTCTCCCTCTCCCTCTCCCTCTCCCTCCTTCCCTCTCTCTCTCTCTCTCTCTCTCTCTCTCTCTCTCTCTCTACTGGGGCTTGAACTAAGGGCCTGAGCACTGTCCCTGAGCTTTTGTGCTCAAGGGACTTAAACTACAGCTCCACTTCTGGCATTTTGCTGGCTAATTGAAGGTAAGAATCTTATAGACTTTACTGTCTATGCTGGCTTTGAACAGTGATCCTCAGATCTCAGTCTCTTGAGTAGCTAAAACCCACTGGTGTCCATGGATTGGTGCTATTGGCTCCCTCCATTCACTTTTTTTTTAATTTTTATTTATTTTTTATTGTGAAAATACTGTACAGAGGGGTTACAATTACATGGGCAAGATAATGAGTACAATTCTTATCAAGCATTGTAGCCTCCTCCTTTGTTTCCCCTTCCCATCCCTTCCCATCCTTCCCCTGCCCCCCCCAATACTCCCCACCCCCCCAATTTGGGGGGGGGTCCAGTCCTGGGGCCTGAACTCTGGGCCTGGGTGCTGTCCCTCAGCTCTTCAGCTCAAGGCTAGTGCTCTACCACTTGAGCCACAGCGCCACTTCCGGCTTTTTTCTTTTTTGCTTATGTGGTGCTGAGGAATTGAACCCAGGGCCTCAGGCATGCAAGACAAGCACTCTACCACTGAGCCACCTTCCCAGCCCCTCCTCCATTCACTTTTTATATGCAAGTTTTCACCAAGCCCCTCTAGGGAAGTGGTGGTCATTATCCTCACAGGTATTATTCTTGGAAGTCCTGGCTGCTAGCCAGTGCTGCCAGCCCAGAGAACAGAAGGCCCCATACAGTCCACGCAATTTACCAGTACATCTTTTGCCTGCAGGAGGACCCCCACTCAGACCTTGTTCTGCAGCCCCACCCTGGGTTGCTGTTATCTGTCAGAGTTGAAAAGGCTGGAAAGGCAGCTGCTCCTCAGCGCCTTATTTGGAAATGATCAGTGACTGGCAGATAGATAAATACAAAGACAAGGTGTCTGCGTGCTAGACAGACAGCCTGCCACACCACTATCAAAGAGGACTGAGCCAAAGAAAGATTCTCCCTGTCTGGTCTTATTAACAAAAATGTAAGGGTAAAATTTTGTAGTACTAAATGTCAAGTCTAGCTGTGAATTTTGCTCTCTATCTTGACTAAATTTGCAAAAATGGTCTCAGATTGTCAACATAATTGATACACTTTGATGAGCTATGAATTTTCTAATTAACTTTTGCTTGCCATGATTTTTACATGCGTGATACTTTGATTAAACAAATATTAGTTTTTTACCATAATTATATTATAAAATGTTATTACCACTAAGGGAGTTTAGATTTTAAAAATCAAGTTAGATTTAATTGTATTTTTCTTACAAATAAAAATAAATTTGTAAAAAAGCTAAAAGGGAAAAAAAAATCCACAAAACTCTGAGCCTACCAAATAGTAGAGAATATTCCATCCTTTAAGTACCCACACTACCGTTTTTTAATTCCTTTTCTCATTTTCTTCCTTTTTACCTTTTCTCCCTCTTCCTCTCCTTCCCACCTTCCTTTCTTTCATAAGGATTTATTGAGCATCAATTACAGGCTTTATTATCACATGCTTCTTATCTATTATTGAGTTAGGAACAGAGGGCCTTAGATAAAGAGAATACTGGAGAATAAAGAGAATACTGGCCTTAGAGATAAAGAGAATACTTGCTTCCAGCAGTATCC